CTTCAGACATTTTGAAGAGGGATTATTTGGGACTTGTAATGAGACTTGGTGTTGACGACTTTCCCATCTCCCCCTTCCTCTTCTTCGTCTGATCCCCTCCTCTTCGTCTGTGTATGTCTGGACCTGGTGCTTCTTTCCTGTGTATAGCGCCAGGCCCCTTCACACCTTGTGATGAGCATGATGTATGTTTGGTCTGCGTTGAAACATTGATTGGGATAGTCATTAGTATTCTAGCATTCTGCTTCGCTATCTTGTACTACGTGAAAGGGGTCAGTCCCGGTCAGGTCAGGACTTGTATCCAAAGTCTTCCCTGCGCTATAAAGCACCATTTTGTATGTATCGGAATGCACATTGCTTGTTCAGATTCCACTTGCACTGCATTGTCCATTCAGTCCTTTTTATCACATTGTGGATCCTCGGTTTATATGTACATCGCCCAATTGGGCATGTAACAGAGAGAGAGAGAGAGCTGACGACCCTTACCCACGATTGTGCCTTTGCCAGCGGCGGTTCCCCTGTGCCAGTTGGTGTGAACGAGTCGACCTCTGGGAGAATCAACGGCAGCTGGTCTTCCGAGATCGCGCTTGCTTCATTGCTGCCGTCGATGAAGATGATCGGAAACGGTTCGCCCCAATATCTTTGCCGTGCAAACAGCCAATCCCGAAGCTTGTAGTTAATCTGCACCAAGCAGCCCAAAACCAAAAACCAAAACCACAACCAGAAACAAAAACAAAAACCAAAAACAAAAAGAAGTTGACATGTTTTCTCTGTTACCAATTGGTCCAAAGAAAAAAGATCAGGTCCAAAAATCATGATCATACCTGGTTTAGCTTAAAATTTATATATAAAGAGTTCCAAGAGTTCCAAGAATTGCAGCAGCCATGGTCCTCACTATGGCCATTGTATTCTTTTTTTATTTTATTTTTAAATGGTCATTGTATTCTTGATATAATGCTTTTGGGGCTTTTGGCATAGTTCCTGTCAAGTTCGGAACCTAGGTTGGAACTCTGGTTCAGAATTTTGAACCTGGTTTCGAACTCTGGTTCAGACTTTTGAACCTGGTTTGGAACTGCGGTTCAGAATTTGGAACCTGGTTTGGAACCCAGTTATTAAGGCATTTATAACTTTGAGCCAACCCTCAGTATATGTAAGGCTGGCGGGAAAGCTGGAGTGGGATAGTGGGACACAGTTCAGATACAATTTCACTTCAGATGGCTATGGCGCATCAGCGCCTGTAGAACTCTCTGGTCGTCACTTGCTCAACACTGCTGTTCGCACACAGGATCACCCTGGATATCCCACACGCAACACACTGTACACTCGCACACTCACACATGCCACTCTCTCTCCTATCAGCTAGGGTGGCTATGGCCGCTGCTATCCTATCGCTATGGCTAAGCTTCCTTCTCGCCCACTTCGTCTTCGGCCTACTGCAGACCACCTCGCACAAGTCGCTGTGGTAGCGCTTCTGCATGGCTTACGCAGGAATGAATGAATGGCTGGGCGCTGCCTCTTGATTTATACTTCTGTAACTCGTTGGTCTGCCCCTCTCCACCAGGCCTATGGTGCACACAGTCCCTCATGGTACTTGCTTGACTGGACTGGGACTGCTGGACCGGTACCGCTGACTGCATGGGTTTACACTGCCAACTCAATGCAGTCGCACTGCCGACGTAATGCGGCTGGGCTCCCCACTTGCCCACTTGCCTCTGACTAAAACGTGAGGCAGCTTCGAAAGGCCACTTCCGAACCTTCCGGAAGTCTGTGGACTTGGCCTTTCGAGTACTGTAGCAGCTACGACCTTGACCTTTCAGGACTGTAGCAGCTACGACCTTGACCTTTCAGGATTCCTACAGCTACGACCTCTACAGGGCTGTGACTCCTACTTGACAGATCTACAGATCATACCCCTACCATTACACAGACCTACGACAGACAACAACAACTCTCAAAACACAGGTCACGGGTTCAAACACTCGGGGTCGACACTGATACTGTACACAGGTAAAGTGCGGACTAGGGATCGAGCCCTGGGACCTGCATCCGCTACTGCTAATAGGTGAATACCGTTTCAAAAAGGGCAAAACGCAAAGAATAAGGCCAAAACTTCCCCAAAGGGCATTGCGCACTACCCACATCTTTTAGGGGCATTTTGGCATATAGCTCAACTTATAGGGGTGTTTCGCAAATTATCCCTAATTTGTCATTTTTACAACCCACTCCACCTCCAAAACTACATTAGCGACTCAGAGCATATTCACACTAGAAGTTTTTCCTCCTGAGCTCTGGACGTGATTGCGGTCAGATGCATCCAGGTCTGGCCAGAATTGCGGTCCGATGCATTCAGAAAGAGCTAGCGTGAGTACTCCCTCCTGCTGGTACATGCTTAAATTTTTTAGTTAACTGATGATGTACCTTCACTGAGAACTTAATTCAGAGCTGGCTGCACGTGGGCCAGAATTGCGATCAGATGCATTCAGGAGAGAGCTACTCTGAGAACTTAACTCAGATAGCCGTTTACCGCAACAACTTCACAGTTAAAAACTCTGCATCAGCTCCATCTCCAAAATATCATCAGGGCCTTGGACTACCGATTTGATAAACGGTAGTATTAGGTCATACTCACACCACCCTCCCCCGAATACAACGTACGGTCATTATAGCTGAATTTGGTGTATCTTTCAGTCTAAATACAGCTATAATGACCATACGTTGTAGTGGGGGGAAGACAACATACGGTCATTATAGCTGTATTTAGACTGAAAGATACACCAAATTCAGCTATAATGACCGTACATTGTATTTGGGGGAAGACTGTAGCATTTTCCTGAATGTACCTGACCACAATTACGGCCCGACCTTGACGCATCTGACCATAATCACATCCAGAGCTCAGTCGACTATGCCCTTAGTAGTCGTAGCAGCAGCAGCAGTTGTCGTCGTGGTAGTGGTAGTAGTAGTAGTGACAGTAGCAGTGGTCGTGGCGGTGGCGGTGGTCGTCCTCGTCGTCGTAGTAGTAGTAGTAGTAGTAGTAGTAGTAGTAGTAGTAGTAGTAGTAGTAGGAAGAGGAGGAGGAGGGGGTAGAGAAAGAAGAGGACCTCCAGGTTTATATATGTAGACAGAAGTGGTCCATACCATCAGAATTGTCCCATACCTGCAGCTGCGTGCATGTATGTGACAACAACGATGGCTTAAGGTCAGAGATCCCTGGAACATGGTCAGAACCAGGTCCAGAAGAAGAGCCACGATCTGAACCAGGTCCAGAAGAAGAACCACGATCTGAACCAGGTCCACAAGAAGAACCAGGATCTCAACAAGGTCCACAAGGGAAACCATGATAGGAACCAGGTCCACAAGAAGAACCAGGATCTGAGCCAGGTCCACAAGAACAACCATGATCAGAACCAGGTCCACAAAATGAACCATGAAATAAGCCAGGCTCACCAGAAGAACCACCAACAACCTGTAAGATGGACATACGTTTGTCAGAAAGGAGAAACAGACCTATGCATACACTGGAACCAGCAATAGGGGTTAGCACCTGGCTCCAAGATTTAGAAGATGTTATTGGCTATAGGACTCAGGTATGACACCAACTATTCCAGGCTGTTAGGTACACAACCGCCTCCCTTTTTCCCAACAGGGGCAATGCAGATAGATGTCGCTACAGTATGAAGTCTGTACAAACAAAAAACCACGATGTATAGGGACGCTGGACCCGGTCTCCAGCAGGTGCTGCTCCCCACCAATAGATGGAGCCTCCCCGACAGTGCTAGTCATGTCTGCTCTTATCAGCACCCCTCACACCGTCTCGGGCTGTTTTTCTTAATAAATAAATTTAAAAAAAAAAAAAAAAAAGTTAAGAACCTCTTTTTTTTTTTTTCCACAAAAAACAGGCCCTTATGGTCCTGGCTCCATTTCCATTCTGGGAAGCATCAGTCCGGTTCCTATTCCACCGGCAAGTCAGAATAAAAGGATACATCGTAAGTACTCACCCACGCTTCCTTCCGTCTGACCGAAGGACCCCTGACCAGCACTGATTGCTCCAGCCTTGTGGAGGATTAACTGTCAGCTTGCCCTGCTTCATCCTTTCCTCTCAGGTCTACCATGAAAACCTGTCCTATAAAGCATGACTAGCGAGAAAGGTCCTAGAAGCTGCCAAAGCTGCCAATTGTGTGAGTAAACTGTAAATCTCCCATGTGAGCCACATGAAAAGTCTGTTATTCTGAACCCTGTTTGCCCTAATTCTGACCAGACCCTAAACCCTAAACCCTCAACTGTAGGTTCTCTCCTCCCTCTGTCCTAAACTTTCATTTCTCCCCTAATGTTGCCTTCCGAAACCCATAACCCATATTCGTTGTACCTTACTACCCCCTTCACTTATCGTTCCTTGCCTTGCCTCACTTTAATTATTATGGCAGCCTCAGTTCCTGTGTCAAAGGTTGATCATCTATAGTCTCCTCCTGGCGCTCCTCTTTGAACCAATGGAAGATAAGTCTCTCTCCTTCCATGGTCGCGACTTTGCCCTGGGCTAGTACCCTTTTCTGGAATTTGGTTAAGGTATCCTTTGCCCTTTCTGGGTTATGAGCCACTTGTTTCTTTGTTCTTTTCCATAACGCCCTAATCTCTGTCTCCAACAGGCTATAGAGCATTGCCTTGGCTTCCATTCTAGTCATCGGAATCGTGCCCACCACCTGCTGACATCTTCGTTTCCAGATTGTCCACAAAGTGTACTGTCTCAGAAGCTGAAAGATAAATTTGTGGACTGCCCGCCATCCCTTAGGCACCTCACTTCCTGTCAATATTAGTTTCCTGTTTTGCGGGAAGGGGACCTCCGTTTTGTGGCCTGCCCGCCATCCCTTAGGCACCTCACTTCCTGTCAATATTAGTTTCCTGTTTTGCGGGAAGGGGACCTCCGTAGTGTGTATCCATAATGAACGAGCTAGGGACCAGAGATGTTCTGCTTCCGGGCAATGGAGCAAGCAATGGACCGCCTCCCATTTCTTTTTTTTGTTTTTTCAATTTAAAATTTAAATTATTAATTGGACAATTCTCCAATCTATCACCTATGGTAAGAACCTCAGACAAGGTACATGCAGAAAGAACCAACAGGCACCCTGAGAATTGTTTACCGTAGGTCAACATTTACCATAGGCTATGAACAAACCATGGTACGAGCCTCCTACAACCTCAGACGACCTCAGACAACCCCCGAAATATTTACCATGGTAAGAACCTGCAGTGACCACGGTAAAAAACATTTCTGAAGTTGTCTGAGATTCGTACCATTGTTCTTATTATGGTCAACATTTCGACGGAACCATGGTAAGAACCTTGGACGGAAAAAAAAAAGAAGAAGAAGAAGAGGAAAAAAAAAAAAAAAAAAAGGGAAAAAAAAAGGGAAAAACTTCAAAAAAGGGGAAAAAAAAAGGGAAAAAAAAAGGGAAAAAAAAGGGAAAAAAAAGGGAAAAAAAGGGCAAAAAAAGGGAAAAAAAAAGGGAAAAAAAAGGGAAAAAAAAGGGAAAAAAAAGGGAAAAAAAGGGCAAAAAAAGGGAAAAAAAGGAAAAAAGGAGAAAAAAAGAACCCACAGGCCTGACGGAAATGAACAACCTCGATATCGTCATTCCCCTAGAACAGACAAGGAGGGACACCTGTGCCAACGATGATGGCTATGAAGGATCGTGATGAATGATCATGAATGATCGGTGATTGGCAAGGAGAGGTGAAGATAACTGATGATGATGAGGAGGAGGAGGGGGAGGACGACGAGGAGGAGGAGGAGGAGGAGGAGGAGGAGGAGGAGGAAGGGATGAGGAGCAGCAGGAGGAGCAGGAGGAAGAGGAGGAGGAGGAGGAGGAGGAGGAGGAGGAGGAGGAGGGGATCATCATCATCATCATCATCATCATCATCATCATCATCACCGTCATCAAAGAAAGAGAGCAGAGAGCAGAGAGCAGAGAGCAGAGAGCAGAGAGCAGAGAGCAGAAAGCAGTTATCTTCTTGGGTAGAGAGAGAGTTAAAAGAAGAGATTGACGGGAAGACGGTGGGAAGAAGATAAAGAACAGACCTTCTTTCTCCCTTGACCTGTTGTCTCGAGCCAGTCTGATATCTTCCTACTCGCCTCTCGATTGGGCATGCCATTGAAGTTCAATCCTGTGGAAGGTGAGACTGAGTTCACAAGCACGCCATCTCCTGCGTATACAGCGTCGTCATCTGTCCCTCCTTCTGATTCGCGACCATTATCTGATGGAGACCTCGCAACAACTTTCCGGATCGGCAGTCCGAATCGAACGGCAAACTCGTAGTCCCGCTCATCATGCGCCGGGACCGCCATGATTGCACCTGTCCCATAACTGAACCCGACAGAAGAAGACGGACCACACACAGAAAAAGGGTCGACGAGGAAGAGCGAAAGAAAGAAAGAAGGATATTTAAACTAGGAAGATTCTCACGCCCGGGGTACCTGGGCATGCAAAAAAAAAACTTTTTTTAATTTTTTTCTTTTTGGTTTTCTGCGCTCTCCCAGAGCACCCTAAATCCAGGCTCATTTCTTTTTTTGCGAGTTGGCTGTCAAGGGGGGGGGAGGGGGGTCTAAATTGGTTTTAATGGGGCTAAAGGATTTTAAAAGGGGGTGCCTTTGTGATTCTGTTATTTTCTTTTTTATCTCCGATTCTGTGAGGAATTATAATGTGACCCTCAGCCAAAAGTCGTTTGCATTGCGATTCTACACAACATTTTTTTTTTTCGGATTTTTTTTTTTTTTTTTTTTTGGCGCTGGGGCTGCTTGGGTGCCTGCCCGGGGGTCATGCCCGGCCAGGCACCCGGGCATGTACCCAGGCGTAAGTCGGGTGCCTGGCCGGGCACCCGGGCGTGTACCCAGGCGTAAGTTGGGTGCCCGGGCGCCCGGAAAAACTGCCTAGTATTTAAATTTCATTTGGTAAGGATTTTCTACTTGACCCTGACAAAAAAAAAAAAAAAAAACTTGTTCAGTTTATTTTTCTGCATGATATTTCTTTTTTCATATTTTTTCAAGGCTACCAGCCGGGGCGCCCGGGTGACCTTGTTTTCCCGGTAAGGCCCATCCGTGCAAGGACCATGAAAGGTCCCAGCAAAAAA